TCTGCCCTTTTGAATACGGCTTTTACAAAAAATAAATATGACATTCCACCAATCGGCATGCATGTATACCATAATTTTTTTTCATTCTTCAAATTTCATTTTTTAATAATTTTCGAGATAATTTTTAAAATTGCATGCCCCTTCGCGTTGTCTGTCGGCATTTTAGCGACCAGAAAAATGTTTGCCGACGATTTTCCACGTTTCTTAATAATAAATAAAAGCTATTTTCGCAATTATAACTTGTGACTATTTCATAATGACTACGCAAAAGGATACTTCACACAAAAAATTAGCCATGTAACGATGATAAGGTTTTTTATGTAGCCAGCTCTTAGACTATAATTTTAGAAGACGTTCTTAAAACAGTTAATCACTAGTCGATTAAAAAAAGTATACTTGTAAAAATAATTGTAAAGATTTAAAAATACGATTATTTATTTTTGATTCTGTATTGTTTATGAAACATTCGAATTATTATTTTGATTTAATTCAATAAATATTTATTCACATTTTATTCTCGTTTGTCTACGTATATTTCGAAACCAAATAAAAATAATTTTATTTATTTATTTGTCAACTATATTTATTACAACATGTTCTGAAGGGAAAAATTATTGGGTTTTTATAGTGAAATATTGCCGAAAAATGGGTAGCTACATATTTTTATTTGCATAAAAAAGCAAAATGATGTGACTGTCAACAAGTTGGTAATAAATCAAAAAACGCATGACAAGGGAAAAGAAAATAAATATTTGGGTAAACAGGTCAAACACCTAAAATAACAGGTCATATACTATAGTTTAAAAAAAATTGTGCACTATGTGCGCATATTGGAAGTGAATTTTTACCCTACTTTTCAAAAATCTTTTACTTATATTTCTCTATCGTCTTTTCTATATGAAATGTAAGAACTTGATTAAATTTTGAGCAATTTTATGCAAGAGAAAATATCCTCAATGGCGACAAAATCATTTTACACCTGTTTGCGTTTCTTTATATAGTATATTTCGGTATCGACGCATTCCATTTTGAAGAATTATTGGATTTTTTTTCAAAAAGAGTCCATGAAAAAGACTATTCGTGCGTAAAGGAATACAGAGGGAGTTTATAGAATACAAGGGTAGATCAATAAGTTTAACATCAATTTTCTGAAATTCAATGAAAAATGGACAAGATGTGAGGAATTTTCAGTGTTTTTGAGGCATTTTGTGAATTGTGTCACTTTCAATAAATAATTGAAAACATTTTATGACATCTCTACTATTATACAGTACTTCTTCTTAATTTTTTTTAAATTCTTCGAATTTAGAATTTTAATAGAGCTTTAAATAAACAGTAAATTTAGTTTAAAAACGGTTATATTTCAAAAACCACTCGGTATAGAATATTACATTATGGTATTTTTAGAATAAAAATTTAGTGACAACCATTGTGTATATTAGGAAAGAAATTCATTACGACAGTTAACGATTAGATTTACAATTGTGCTTAATTGTTGAAGGATTATTAGAGTTATTACTGTAATATTTTTTTTTTTTTTTTTTTTTCATTTTATTGTAATAAAGTTGTATTTTTTAACAGAACACCTTGTATATTATTTATTTTTAGAAAAAAAAAAAAAAAAAAAAAAAATTTGATTAAGGTTTATTATACTTAACCAATGTTTTTGAATATTTTCAATTTTCGAAATTGCAGTATAAATAAAATATGAAAAAAAAAAAAAATTTTTATCACTAAATATTTACTGAAGTTTATTTATTGATCAAGAGCAGTTGCAATAATAAAATTTTACTACCTTATACAGACAGAGTAGCTAAATATTTCTATTTTAACATTTATTATAACGGTTAACTGGTTTAATTCTAATGGAACACCCCGTTTTATGAGATCAGATGTCGATTCTAATTGTTCATCAAATTGTATTATGCCATTTTTAATGGTTACTTTGTTTCGAAAATGTATTTTGTAATTTAGAACTCATTTATCAATATACCAGGGAATAATATATTTTAGATTATTTTTAAAACATGTACCAAATTTCTTTTAAAGAGTACAGATACTAATATTGTCGATATAGTTCGTTTATTCTTAATAAAAAATAAAAAAACTGTTTTAAATATTTGTTAAAGAGGACCAATTAATATGATTCCAGTATTCAAACTACTAATTGACTTTTGCGTTGATTAATAACAATTGCTCCAAATACTAAAAAACCGAATTATGTATGTGTATTAGACAGTGTAGTAAAAAAAACTAACAATCTTAAAACTGATATTTCCATTTTTGAAAATGCTTATTTATAACAGAGACGTTCATTTTCATAACTTATTATTATATTGATTTCTGATTCAAATCCACATTTATTTAGAATAATTTATTAACAAACCCAATTAAGTTTGTAATTAATTATATTTAAGGAAATACTGGTGGTATATTTAATTAATGGTATACTTTTTATAAAGATTTAAATAGTTTTTTGCATAGATACAAAATTAGTAATATTATCGTTTCACTAGAAACGATAATATTACTATCCTGAACATTTTGTACACTTGTTGTTTTAAAACACCTAAATGTCAATATTCCATGGGTATTGGATAAATGAGGTCTAAATTATAAGAAAAATGCATTTTCTACAAAACCAAGAAAGGATATGTAAAAGTTGTATAATACAATTTGATAGACAATTAAATTGCATCTGATTCTTCATAAAATATACAGGGTGTTCCATTTAAATTAAATACATTGCCGTTTAAAGCTAGTAATTATTTGCACAAATTTTAGACACTCTGTATAAGGTAGTATACTTTTTATTATTGCAAAACACAATAACTGATCAATAAATAAACTTCAGTAAATATTTAGTTTTAATAACTTTGATACCCTCGGGGAAATGAAGCCTTAAAGCAGAATATCATCATAGAATCATAGTAGAATCATTGAAAAAACAACTTCTTGATTTTACAGATTTAAAAACAGTAAAACTAATGTTAGATTTATTACTTACTACAATAGTGCAATAACACCTACTACTCGAACTAGAGCCACAATATATAAAACTGGGTTTAATATGAAATTAGAGTAGACAACTCTTAGATAAAATATGGCATCATCAGTTTTTTTCTATACAAAAAAATAAAAATTAAATTATTATATTATTAATGTGGAAAAAACTAAAAGTGAGTGAGTGACTGAAATAATTTCTGGTCTCAATTCCTGGTTCCTTATTATCAAATTCACAGGGTACACATACATTAGACCAGTGCTTCTGCAAATCAAATTGATTTTCAAAATATAATTCATTTACGGCGGAGAAAGCCTTGTCTAGTGGGGGCTAAGAGTTCATTGCTTTGCGAAATGAAAAGAAGACGATGTTATGGATTTGATATCAAATGGTAGGTGATTGTGCATTTTTTCGAGTTGCATAATATTGAACTTTTAACTAACTCTGAGCGTGGGGTAGGTAGAGAGGGTAGAGATAAAGATCTTGTTCCGCGTTCCTGAGCGGATAAGTGTGAGATGGCCTTTCTTGAGGAGCTGATACATGTTTACGCATAGCAAACCGATTCAAATATAAATAAGGAAGGAGAGTCAATATTTTAATACTTTAAAAGTCCCAATGAGTCCCTCCTCGCTAGTCCCAGTGAATATCGAACAGTTCTCTCTGGAGCTTGAAAATGCAGTCAAATTGAGTCGCACAACACATACCCCAGAATGGAAGGACATACCTGAGGTGCGACTCAAAAAAGTGCATAATAAACAGTTCTAGCAACTGACAAGTTAAGCTCCTTAGAAACAGACCTTAATGCAAAACAGGCAGAGCTCAATTTTTTCGACAAAGCTTAGATATGTCCCATTTCAGAGAATTGTCCACAACAGGCACTAAGAATTTTACAGATTTACGACGTCAATGGTGGTGTTGTTAAGTACAAAAGGCTGCAGTTTTTATACGACAAAGCTTTAGTTTTAGAAATGTTGAGACTCAGGAGGTTCGATTCGCACCAAGATTTAATGGTGATTAAGTCATTTGATATAATCCTATGAAGTGCCGTGATATCCTTGTTGCTCCCAAGTGAAGCTAGTGTCGTCCGCAAGAAGACATATTTTGCCACTGATGTTTATGTTAGCAATGTCGTTAATAAAAAGAAGAAACAAAATAGGCCTAGTACTGAGCCTTGTGGTACTCCACATTCTATTGGCTTGATAGAAGACAACGTGGTATCCACCTCACAAGTTGACTTCTGCTGCTCAGATACGACTTAAACCATTCGAAAGATGATCCCCTGAACCCATAGTGCTGCAGTTTATTAATTAGGATCTGATGACACAACGAAGAAAAATCATTGAAAATTGTTGCTGTAGAATGATGGTTGTGTAGGCTGGAGTAAACTTTATTAAGGAGGGAAACATAGCGTCATTTGTGGACTTGTTGCTAGAAATCCAAATTGATATTCAGTAAATATTTTGTACTTAAACAGAAAAGATATCAGCCTTCTTTTAACCAACCTTTCAATGATCTTAGATAGCGTTGGAAGGAGTGCAATTGGGCGATAGTTAGAAGCTTCATCTTTGTCTCCTCCTTTATGCAGACGAATGATTATTGCCTTAAGACATTTTAAAATACAATTTTGGAACGACATGTTTATTAAAGTTGTTAGGTGATTCAGAGTGCTTTTTGGCAGATTCGAAAAGATTTTTAAAGTTAGCCGGTCGGTCCCAGAAGAGGATTTGATGGTATTAATTGTACTGCAAAGCTCTTCTAAAACTACGGGCGAAAAAAAAGAAACTGTTTTTTTTTTTTTTTTTTTTTTTTTTTTTTTTTTTTTAGTTTGGTTTGGTTCCCATTTGGGTACGGAACCCTAAAAACTATTGAAGAAGGACCTCCAAAGCATATTTTGAATATTAATACTAAATTAAAATCGTGTATACGTCATTTTAGTGAAAATGTTTATAAAAAGTGAACAGTGGTTATGTGGTTGTAAGGCAAATATAACACTTACTTTTCCAAAACTTCCCTTTCCAAGTACTTTCAAAAAGTTGAAATCGTCCACGCAGTATTTCCTGAACCTTGGAATCGTTGTGGCTGGTGGGGTGATCCTCCCACTCCTCTGGAAGCTCTGGTAAGTACTGGACTGGGACACTTCTTCGGGAAGATCATTGTAATCCAGTGCAAAGGCTGGATTCAGAGCTGGATTAAGGGTACTGCCTGGAGAGTCACGACTATCAATGGAACCTAGAAAGAAAAACAAAGGAGTTAAATAGTGTTTAGTATAAGATAATATACAAGGTGGCGCACCTCATTCGCCTCGATATGAAAACGGAAAGATGTAAAGACAAAATATTTTATGGGTATATGCGGAAAGGCAATGTACATAATTTGAAAGACTACCGGTTGAAACTAAAACTCTTCTTTTTACATTTAAAGTGTCTCGTGTCTCTGTTAGGTAGACTCCTATAATAAAATTTTATAACGATACCTTCAACTGTTAAAAAAAAACTATTAAAAAAAAAAAACTTAATTTTTCAAAAACTTAACACCCTGTATCTTGGTGTAAGAAGCATTTCCGACCCATAGTGTGCTATATCAAAATTAATATTTGACGTCCCCTATCATTCCTCGAAAGCATGACCGACTTACAGGAATCACCCTGTATATTAATATAATATAAAGAAATTATTCTCCATAGTAGAAATGGTTGAATAAGCAGAAAATTATAATGAAGATGATGATGATTTTGAAGCTGAGAAAAGCACTGATTAGTGAAGTAAAAAATCCAGGTTTGCATTAACAATAATTAAATGATTTTTACTCTCTTAGTGATTATCTGCGTTTTGTTAATTTTGACCGTTTTGAAAGCCTTAATTTTGACCTAAAATGCTCAGTTAGTTGGTATAATGACCGGGTTTTATCGTAACATATCGTTTTATAATTTCAATTCCTATTATTCTTTGGATCATTAAAATACTTACTATTTACCTACTGATATTATTTACCCCCGATCTATTACCCCCGAGAAAAAAAGGAAGATATTCTACAGAAAGAAACTTTATCATAAGTAAAACTCTTTTTTTTTTAATACCTGACAACAAAAGTCCACCCTTATACCCGATAGATATCCTTCATTCTTCGCCCTGACTGCCACAAAAACACCCCGGAATTTTCCCCTATAGCTTCCAACCCCATCCCTGACATCTTTCTTTCCTGGCAGGATCCGGCAAATTATTAATCTACCCCCGTTTCACCTATACAAAACCGAAAACCGCCCCGGGTAGCGACACAAAAGAAAATACCGTCGGTATTAGGGGCTGCTGCTTGGCTTGGCTCGACCGGTCCTGCGGCAATCTATACGATGGTTTGCTCTCATATTCCCGCTCTCTTTTTTAAATAGATTCCTGTCGTCATTATTTCGAGTTTTTCTTTTTTGGCTTATCGATACGACGAGAAATTGTCTTTTTAGTTGAAAAGAAACAATATATGAGTTATTTTTTGTGAAACAATAAACATAATATAAGAAACTAATCGCTAATCCATACGTTCAACTTCCGATATTTCCGAAGTGCCGCCATATTGAAAATATTTTTAATCGATAGATCTCGTTGTGAAACTATGATATGCAAAAAATGTCCTATCTAGATATCGTAGTTCTCTTAAAAACTTCTAATGCACGTTCAGCCTGGGACACCCTGTATAATTTCTTTCTTTTATACGCTACCGAACCTTGAACTTGAACTAAACCAATACCAACGAACCTATAAATAACTTCTAATTAATAAACCGTTAATTTACCGTGGTAATAATAATAACAATAAAGAGAGCCTTTAAGTGACGTAGATCGTTCATTTCCATTTTACTGTTTTTGTTTTTTCGCTTAGTTAAGTTTTGGCGATAGATATCGATTTATTTTTAGCCAGTCAGCGTCAAGATCGGCGTTTGGCCAGTGACGGCAAAGATTTTTTGGGTTTCTCTATATGTATGTGTATGATAATTTGTATGTGTATTTGTCTAGCATCGTTTATTATTTTTAGCTCATTGGACATGTTACGAGATCAATTTTGTTTAAATAGAACCAATTAAGTAAGTTAGTTAGTTGACTACCAAATCAAATAAGTGAAAAAGACAGCAATCACAAAAGGATAGAAAAGAGAAATTACCAAGGCAGAAATATGCGAAAAATTCATAGTGGAACGTTTGCCAAAAATCATGACAGACCTGATAAGCAAAGACATGTCTACTAACAAGGCATTTATAGTGAGCTTAATAGGCATCTAAAGTTGATGGGATTGACGGACAAAACCATGTACACTATAGTCACTACAAAAATCAAATCTAAAATACACTTAAATGCAAAAAACGCAAGGGAACACTTTTTCGTCAAGATTAAAGCATGTCTTATATATTTTTACTTTCAGTCCTATTTCATGATTTTTTTAGCAATTTGTATATAGATCTATCAACAGTCTTTAATTCACCTGAAGATTTAAACACTTACTTTATTAATGTTGCTAAAAATTTAGTAAACACCATAACTCCTTCTCATGATTCACTTTCATATCTCCCTAAAGCAAATGAGAATTACACAGTTTCTTCTTCACGCCGGTAGCATGAGATGAGCTCCGTAGTACAACTAATAGTATTAAAAACAAATCCTCATCTGGGACTGATGGGCTTACTCTCAAAATGTTCTCTGAACTTCCTGAATGCCATTCCATTAAACCATCTTACTACTTTAATTAACGAGTCATTCCAAAAGGAGTTTTTCCAAACTGCCTTAAGACACCAATAATTATTCCTCTGTATAAAGGAGGAGATAAAGATGAAGCTTCGAACTATCGCCCAATTGTACTCCTCCCACATTATCTAAGATCATTGAAAGATTGGTTAAAAAAAGGTTTATATCTTTTCTCCTTCAATACAAAATACTTACTACCCATCAATTTGAATTTCTAAGTAACAGTTGCACAAATGATGCTATGTTCGACCTTTTTAATAATGTATACTCTAGCCTGAATAACCATCACTCTACAGCCACAATTTTCTGTTATTTCTCTAAGGCTTTCGATTGTGTAAATCATAATATCTTAATTAACAACTTGCAATACTATGGTTTCAGGGGAGTGCCGCCCGAATGGCTTAAGTCATATCTTGGCAACAGAAGGTAGCTTGTGAGGATTGATACGTCTATGTCTTCTTGTAAGCCTATAGAATGTGGTGTCCCTCTGGGTTCAGTACTTGGCCCTATTTTGTTTCTGGTGTTTATCAACGACATTACAAATCTAGACATTATAGCGGTAAAATCTGCCTCTTTGCGGACGATACTAGTTTCAATTGGAGCGGCCCAGATGTTGCGGCACTATATGATACTATATTCAGTGACTTACGCACCATTAAATCTTGGTGCGATTCTAATCTCCTATACCTCAACTCTATCAAAAACTAAAAGCTGGTCACATAAAAAGTACTATACAACCTTTGTACTTAATAACACCACTATTGACGTCCTGGACTCTATTCTTAGGACTTGTTGTAGGCAACTCGTTAAAATGGGACTTTCACATCGAAGCTCTATCAAAGAAACTAAGCTGCCTGTTTTGCGCTAAGACCAGTTTCTAAGGAACTTAACTTCTCAACCTCTAAAATAGCCTATTATGCCGTTTTTGAGTCACATCTTCGTTATGCCCTTCCGTTCTGGGGTACTTGCTGCGCAACAAAATTTGATCGTATTTTCAGACTTCAAAAGAGAGCAGTTCGGTATTTATTGGGACTGAACAGTAGAACTCACACTGCCAGAATTTCTTTAAAAATTTCAAAATACTGACTCTTCCTTTCTTTATTCATTTTTGAATCCGTTTGCGTAATCCGCAAGCACATATCTGCTATTCTCGAAAAGCCATCTCACAACTATCCACTTTAGGAATGCGGAGCACGATCTTTATCTGCCAACCCCGAGCTCAGAAGTTAAAGGTTCATTACTGTACACGCCAAAATGTACAATCATCTGTTTTTGAATATCAAGTCGCTTTCGTTCTTCCCCGCATTTCGCAAAGCTCTAAAACCATACTTACTGGAGAGAGCCCTATATACGGTAAAACGATTTTTTGTTGATGTTTAATTATGAACAATTTTGAATTTTATTTATAATTTTATTTTGATCATCTCACACATGGTCAAAGGTCAAGTATTTAATATTTTATAACTCTAAAATTATATCTATTTACCGCGTACTGTTCTGCAATTGTCCATGTATATTCTTTTGGTTATTTTAATGACTTAAATTTTTTGAATCGTATTATTTGTGTTATGTATTTTTGTTGTTTGTATTTTCTTTGTGCTTTGTTTGTTTTGGCGAGTGCTTTGTCGATGAAGCAATTTTGGCTTTTTGTACAAAAGCGTTGTTTGTTTGTTGTCAACTTTAAATCACAAACTCAGTTTTTTTTATAAACTTTTGTATTTATTTAGCTTATCATACAGGGTTAATTGAAGGGTTGTTTTTTTATCTTAACTTTAAAACACCCTGTGCAATAATTTCAATGGTAACTTTTCCCAAAACTTTATTTTTCGATTAGAACCATGTCTTCTGAGCATTTTTGTTTTTTGACTTATGTCAACACATACTTTGGTTAATTTTTACGAGCGAAATGAACTTGCCACAATTTGCAATTTTTTCAACTATCATTAATTTATGATGTTATTTTTTAATATCATGAGGTGGTTTTGGTGATTATTGTCGTATTGTCATATCGACACTGATTAGAACTCTTAGAATTTAAAAAACGTTAAAAAGTAACGATACAGGCTTGGTTTTAATAAATATTAGTAACACTAACAGAACTAAGGTTATGAAAAAAAATAACTGTATTAACTAAGTGAACAAATAAGCAAAAAACTTATTGCCTCCCCCGGCTGCTATAACTGTCTGTAGACGTCGATACTGTTAATGAGACTGCAAATATATTGTGTTATGTTTTCCCATTCGTCTTCAAGGACCAAGCGAATATTCATAATTTCGGCCAACTTCAACAAGATCAATGACTTTTCCATAATCTTCGACAATAAGAACCATATCCTATCGTACACAACAATAATCACCAAAGCCACCTCGTCACTATGAAGACTAACATCAAAAAGTAACAATAATTGAAAAAATTGCAAAATGTTCGTGGCAAGTTCATATTGCTCTTAAAAATTAACCAAAGCATGTGTTGACATGAGTCAAAAAACAAAATATTCAGGAG